GTTAAAATGAAGTGTGTTGCTACATACCCATAGTCTCAGCAGCCCGGAGGCTGAGACAGGAGGATTACTAACTGGAGACCAAGTATGCTACGTAGTAAGATCGTGACCCCAAAATAAATACAATGAAACAGAAAGCATGACACCACCCTCACACAAATTGGGTTTAGATATTTCTTTCTGCATTCAGACTATAGTTCCTATAGCATTTCCCAGACCTGATGAAAGAACAAAGCAAACAATATCCTAATTGTAAGATCACCCTACCTACACGATCCAAGAGCTTCTGCTCAGTCTCCCACTGCCAAGAGACCCATGTGCAAGGTAAGGGCCCGCTGGAAGGCACACACGGAAAGGAAACCTACAGTTACATCAACACTGCCTTAGGACCCAAGAGGCTTGGAAACCATCTCCTTGTGAACTGGCATCACACTTGGACAGGACCAATCTTTGTGAAAAGAGCACCCTCAAGGGTGAATACATAATACCTTATGCATCAGCCTTAAAGAATTATTTGCAATCAAGTTTGATGGGAAGCTCACCTACTGGAGTCCCAATTAAATCACAGGGTTACTCATTCTCCCCCTACCAAAGAAATCTGTTGAAGAGCAGACATGCATTCCAAAAACTGTACTCAATTTTGAATTTCATCAACAAAAATTTTGCAAAACTGTCTTTCTCTAATTATCTGTATTTATATCCTTTTGATCCATTTTAGAAAATGTCACTGATCCTCAATACAGATTATACTAAAGAAACAAATATCTTCTCTGAAGAATATATCAGACATGTTGTTATGAGTTTTTAAAAGGCCAATTTTGGGCTACAGGATAATATGGTTCTACGCATGCAAGAGAATCCCTTTAAATGTATTTCGTTTGTATGTTTATACACACACAGTTATCTGGAAGGAAATACTGTTGACAGTAATTGCTTCTAAACTACAGTTTGTTCTTCAAAGTATCCAGGGTTACGACGAAAACAAATCAGATCTGGTTACTCCAGCTCAAGATCCCCAGTGGCTTCTCATCACACCATAAAACAAACTGGAACTCCCTGCCTTGCTGGGGAGGGAAGGGCCTGGGGATCTGATTCCTGCCACATTGTGATCACTGTCCCAGGCCGCCTCAGAGGCTCAATGGCTTGTTGCTGCACTGGTCTCCTCCTTTCTGCAGGACATTCAGTCATTGGCACTTACCTCCAGTAGACACAAACGTGCCCTCTCACTTGGCCTACAGTCAATAATACCTCCTTAGAGGGGCCTTCCGGGTGCCTGACGGAACCACCAATACTCCCGGGATGTCACTTTTTCTAATTACTGCCAGGTCCAAAGGAAACTTCAATTCCCCAAACTCTGAAAGGCAGTCCATATATCCAGAAATGAGATCCACCTGGACTACATTATGATTTCTGGTGGTTGGATAAAGCCAGCATTCCTCAGGAACTTGTGACATTGGTTCCCATCTGCCAAAAGGAGTCATTTTCCTCATGTGTGGCAGAAGGGACATATGGCTCCATTGATACATATCCATGGCTGCATATCAAAGTCCATGCTGGCCTCCAGGCTCCCTCAGGATCACAAGTACCTATTCTACATTTCAAAGCCTACACTAGCATCCTAGCCCTTCTCACTTCCACTCCTTCCAGATATCCTCCCCGCACCATCTGCTATTCTCACTATACCCGCTACCCTTTTATGCTCTCTTATTATTCTTGTACGAGTCTGCTATCTCCACTCTTCTCTTCTGCTCTCCTGCTCCCCTAGCCTTGGCCATGTCCAGTCTACTTTCTCTCTCTGCTCTGGACTCTTCCAGACGCCTCTGGCTGTTCTCTCATATCTACAATAAAAACCGTAACTATACCATGGGGCAGTCGTGTCAGCTGTTTCTTTATTGTGCACCCTTGGATATACTCACTAGCTGACACCATGTCCTATTTAAATTTACCATCTGTCTTCTCCTAGGACTCTAGAGTCTGTTGGAGGTAGAGGTGACAGTGTTTCCTTCTCTGCTATCTCCTTACAAACAAGAAGTATGTACGAGACAATAAAAGGTCTACAACTAACCTTCAGTAGTAATTCAAGAATGATACAAAGCAGAAAGTGAGGACTTGAGATGGGAAAGTTTATTCTTTTTAACAATGGAAATTTCTTGTTTATTGTTTATAAAATTAGAGAATAAAAATGCGAAGAGTTAATGATTCTACCCCACTATTTCAATGTCTGAACTATTGGGAACTTTCTTTAGAAACCTTCCTGCACACTATCTTAGAGTCAACAAGTGCAAGTGAGATGAAAGCAGACACAGAAAGCCTTTCATTCAACTGGAGGGACCTGGAGGGCCAAGCACATGTGCAGAGTAGCCTTCCTAGCTCCAGCTGGAGCAGGTACGGAATTTCCATTTCAGCCCAAGGATTTATGATTGTATCTATGGTGGATCCCCAAAGAGTTGACTGGCCTGAGTCCAGGCTGTGGACAATGTAAAATATCCATGAGTCTTAATATTATTAGTATAAAAGAAAGTGCTTGGGTTTAGGCTAGATAGGTGTTATCTTGCCCCATGAGTCCATGTTTGTCTTGTGGGAAGACATGACAGTTTACAGAACTATCAGAGTCAACCCAAGTTACACAAGTCCCCTGTCTGTGTACCAGCAAGCCAACCCCCTTCATCATCACCAAACCTCCCAATCTCCTGTAGTCCTGGAGGGCCACCCCATGCCCATGCCCTTCACCCTCTGTTTCTGAAGCCTGATGCTCAGAAAGGCTGAGCTCTGGATGAAGAAATACACCTGCTTCTAAGGACAGCACACCTGCAATGCTGGGGCTTAGGATGTACCAAGCTGTTTGGAACCAGTTGTATCCTACTTAATTTATATTTATATATCATATAATATTCATATGGTTTTAAAATATCATATAATATTCAAATGCTTCAAAAGAGGATAAAACCTCAGAACTCAAGACAGGAGATCCTGAAGTAACAAAACAATTCTACATATATACTATTTCATATTTACTAGAGTCAATCTGATTTTATATATTTTGAAAACACATTAATCTTGATGTAACAAAATGCTCTTATGACTATAATATAAATTATTCAAAAGCTAAGCTATTTATCGGCTTAATATCTAAAAATAATTTAATTGCTGTTTTGAGCTGATTTGGGTGAGTTTATACTCAAAGAAAAGAGACAGAGCTGTAATTATTTCACCCTGACATATCTATCCTATAGTGGCTAAAGCTACCTCAAATGTAGAAATGATGATGGACCAATTTGGTCATATTCATTTTAACCAAATTTTAAAAAATGGTCAAAGACCAAGATTTTAATTTTGATTGCAAAATGTGTTGATATTTTTGTTATTTTGCCTCAAAATTTATAATCATATAGCTCATTATGACATTCAACAAATAAATAATTTTAGTAATTAGAATTTAATTATAGATAGGAATAAACAAACCTATCTGAATAGTAGTCTTAAAGCAAAATAAGCAGAAATCAAAGCGACAACCAAATTCTTACTTGAGGGCCGGAGAGAAAACTAACCAAATGCTTTTTGTTGCTGTTGTCTGTTTTTTTGTTTTGTTTTTGTTTTTTGAGAAAAGATTTCTCTGTGTAGCTCTGGCTATCCTGGAACTCATCTGTAGACCAGGCTGACCTCGAACTCACAGAGATCTACCTGCCTCTGCCTCCCAAGTGCTGGGATTAAAGGCAAGTGCTGCCACCACAACCCAGTCATAACCAAATTCTTAATTGAACAAAATGTTCTAAAACTATTTGTTCTTATTGAACATTGCCCAAAGTTTCTTCAAAAGTGAACACTGATGACAAATTTCAAAACTTACTTTTTCATATTTTTTTTTTTTTTTTTTTTTTTTTTTTTGTTTTTCGAGACAGGGTTTCTCTGTGTAGCTTTGCGCCTTTCCTGGAACTCACTTGGTAGTCCAGGCTGGCCTCGAACTCACAGAGATCCGCCTGGCTCTGCCTCCCGAGTGCTGGGATTAAAGGCGTGCGCCACCACCGCCCGGCCACTTTTTCATATTTTTCTTAGCAAAATCACGGCTGATTCTCTCTAGAGTTCTACAGTAGAAATACACCAGGTCCAAAAGGGCAAACCCACTGACTTGGTCCAAAATTGAGTCTATGCCCAGCTCAACAGCTCCACCTGGACTATAGGAGGATTTCTGGTGATCAGATAAAAGCCAGAAATCCTCAGGAACTTGTGGAACCAGTTCCCATCAACCAGGAGTCATTTTCCTTATGTCCAGCAGAAGGGACACAAGGCTGCATATTAAAGCCCATGCTGGCTCCGGGCTCCCTCAGTTCCTATTCACAAACACTTATTGTACAGAGCCCCTGCTCTAACATCTGGCCCTTCTCACCTCAGATCCCAGCTCTCTTTATCCCCAGCCACGGGTACTCCTGCTATTCTCACTGTCCTCTCTTTCCCTACGTCCTGCTCCCTCACCACTCTTGCTAGGTGTATTACTCTGCTCCTGCTGTTCTCCCTTGTCTGGCAGACAGCCCTGGCCATGTCCAGTCTGCTTCTCTTTCTCTGCTCTAGACTCTTCCAGATGCCCCTGGATACTTTCTCTCTCTTATTCACAATAAAAACTCTAATTATGGAGTGGTCATGTTGGCAGTTTCCTTACTGCACCTATCACATAAAAAACCCTTCCTAAATGAACCTCTCTTTGTATAGTCATACTAAGTGAGGGAGGCCTACAGAGAGGCACAAGCCAACCATTTATAGTAAGCATTACTATTTTTTTTAGTCCACAAGGACAAAGCCTGGGGAAGTGTATTCATGGCAACAGACTTGACCGAAAAGCTTAGGGCCTGCCACCTATCCCTAAAGAACATCGCTGGGAAATATCAAACACATGTTCCTTAAAAGGGAAGGGGGAATAAATTAAATTATGAAGTTGTGACAAATTTAAAATATGAACACATATTACATACTGGCCGAACAAAGATATTTGGGAAATGATATTCACATACTTTCACTATATCCTGTGGATATGTTCTCCTTTTCTTCCACAGATTTTTCTACATTACAGTCCTCTCCCAAACGGAAGCTGTGTGCTTCTCCTTCAGAAGAGGCCGAAGTTGGCGGAGTGGTACTGTCTTTTGGGGAGCCTTTTACATCAGCTGGGTCTCTTGCTTCCTCAGTCCCTCCTTTCAAGGGCACAGCACCATGAGCAGGGCTGTTCTGGGTGTTAGCACGGGTGCTTCCCTGTGGGCCTGTGTCCTCCCTCAGCTGAGGGCCAGGCTGCCTGCAGTGCTTTGGGCTTTCTTCAGCAGATGTTCCTATCAAAATGCACCTAGAAACTGTACTCACTTTCTTGTCAGGTTTCTCCAGACTAGAAGTACCTTTTGACATGAAGTCAGTAATGCTGATGGATCTGGGATTTTTACCAATGCTGGTAAAATCACACATTTCCAGGATGTTTCTTCGCTCCCACTTTGAGAGACCTTTAGAGTGCAACAGAGAAGGGCTTGCTAGTGGCTGAGCCTCAGGAGGAAGAGTCTCCAAATTCCTTTCCTTGAGATTATCAGGGGAAAAGTAGTCCTCATAAGAAGAGGCCCCAACATCAGGAGTCCCTGGGATGGGGCCGGTCGTGGACTGCAGATCATGGTCAGACCTGAACAGCTGTAGCGGCAGGGCAGACTTCCTACTGTACCTCTTCTTTCCTTTTGGAGGTGACCCCGAGTCTGCTGGCCTTTTTCTCTTTGCCGAGGAACTCTTGGGTCCCAAATGTACCAAGTGTTCATCTATGGCAGACGCTGCAGGAGACAGACAGTGCTTCTCGTCAGGTATCCCCAGAGACACACCTGCAGCCTGCTTTCTCTCGGGGTCAGCTGTCTCAGCTGCAGCCTCCTTCGGCCAGCTGACACTCTCCTTTGGAGGACTGTCTGCAGCTTTCCGGGGACTTGGCTGGGAGGGGTGGTCGGGCAATACTGAATTGTAAGAACGGGATGTTTTCAACACAGGTGAGGAAAGGCATGCCTTCCTGGCCATCTCATTAGCAGATCTTCCTAGTTTCCTTTCCTGATTTCCACAGAGACCATCAAAAGATGAGTGTGAACAATTGGCAAAGGATTCATCTGGAGAGAGCAATAAAAAATCATCTTCAAAATGTGCAATTGACCATAGACTACCTTGTTTTCTTTTAAAGACCGGGTCTCATTATGCAGACCTAGCTGGCCCACCTGCTCCTGCCTCCCAAATGCTGGGTTTAGAGGTGTGTGCCACCACCTGGCTAAGCTTTGGTCTTCTATGAAACATTTCCCCTGATAACTCAGCTCCTACTCCCAGCTCCCTCCCTCCTCAGCTCTTCTGGCAAGCTCTCATGTTACATTTATATTTCAAACGAACCTCATGGGCCTTCAGTATTCTGACTGTCAATGAAGCTTGCACTTTTCTCAGGAGTAATGCTAAACTGCCCCATCACCTGAAGTCTCCAGGCTCCTCACACCAGGCCCCATCTTTTCTCCACATTTTACTGTGGGTAAACACAATTCATCCTTCAAAACCACCTTAGTGTCAATGTCACCTGTGAATCCCTTCACCCTGTCTGGTCACACTGCTATACCCTCTCCTGACATAGCAATAATCATCACAGCATAAGGTTCCCTGTCTTCTCATTACACTAGGAGGTACTGGAGGGCAGTCACCATTTTTCACTCATTTGGGAACTTGTGGTCATCACTCAAAGCTCCTCCACTGGCACAGTGCTAGCTGGCAGAGGGCTTCAACTTTAGAGAAACCACACAATCTGGACGCCATACTGGGATTCTAACTTCTGCTTGAGACAATGCAAGTTCAACTTTAAAAAAGAACAGAGCAGAGGCAACAAAGATACACCCTCCTTGACACGGTGCTCTGGGTAGGTCTATATGGTAAGTTCCATGCCAGCCAGGGCTTCACAGTAAAAGTCTATCTCATAAAGTACAAGTGTGAGTACACACACACACCTTTCAAATCGTAACTTTGTCATAGAAAGAAAAAAAAATACTACAATTTTACCTGAACTTAAAGATTCATGAGAAATGTTCAAAGATGCTTCACTCAGAGTGACATTCGGATTCTGTTGAGACTGTTCAAACATCTGGGAAGCTGATAAAATAATGACATGTCATTGAAACGGACCACAGAATTTCCTATTGGACAAGACAAAGATGTCTGTCTATTCTGCTCTTGATCCCATACACATATTAAATGGCTCCTAACTATATTCTAAGCTTAATATAATATAATGAGTAGAAAAAACTATGTAAAGTATATTGTAGATGTAAGACTGAAAAAAATGAATTCCTAGCAATTATTGTCCCAAAAGTATTAACTTATGGAATCACATGTGAGATGAGAATTTGAAAATCCAACTTGCCCGAAGCTTAAACCAAATGAATGTTTTCAGTTTGTTTGATAACTGTGAAAGTTCCTAGGATTTACCTCCAAGTAGGACGCCAGTGCTGAAGTAGACATGGGACAATGTCTGTCACAGATGAGGGAGGGTTATTACTGGTTTAGATAGTGTACACAACAAAGAATTATCCCCCAAAGTCAACAGTGTTGTGGTTGAAAAACCTTCAAAGTTTCATAGAAAATTTCTAGGATATTAATGACTTAATACATCTTCTGTAATTCACCAGTAGACATAATTTTCATTTTACAAAGTAATCAACTTACAGGTAGGGGAAAGGTTTTCCCTTTTCTCCTTCATCTCTTGTAGTCTCCTCTCCATCATGCTCTGGTGACTCCTAACGGGAACTGTGGGGCTGTATACCACTGAGCGAGGAGACTCAAACAGGAGGACAGGGACACCATCATCTGAAAACAGAGTTCAACTTACTTTCAAGAAAACGCTGCCACACTTCACCAGCTCAATTCTTTTAAGACTCACCTTCACCCCTCTGTGTTCCTGCTCCTTTTCAGTGCCATTCTCTCTTCCCACAGACAGTATTGCCCCCACCATGAATCATGGCACTGCCAGTAGAGCTAGCTGCCAGCTGACCCCTGCTGAGCTCTCAGTAAGGGGCATGCATCATTCATCTAGGTGTACCCAGGCCCTACATGATGATAGGTGTTGGCATCTTCATTTACAGTAGCCACTGGGTCACAGATAAGTCGATATCACATACACACTCACACAACTAGCAAGAAAACTGGCTGGGATGTGGACTGGCCTCTAAAACTGGCTTTATATCCATCTTTCAGAAAGTGGGCCTACTGAACATTGCTCATCCCCCCAACACACACACATGAATTTGACCACAGGAACTGAGTCCAAGTTGTTTGCCTATAGCATTCAAAGCAAACACTGTCTAAGTTTTGCTTGTTTTAGATAATGAAACAAAAAGACCAGGCAAGAGGTAAAAAAGCAACATTAAATAAGTGAGGCTGCTTTTCTCTTGTGATCATTTTGCAGACAAGAATTCCACTGACTTACTGAATGATGAGGATTATCTGACTGCCCTTCCCAGTGGCTCTCAGTGACTACTCAGTCTCCTCCTACTCTAAAGCCAGCCCCCACACCTCCAGCTGTCAAGGCCACTGAACTTGGCTTACCAAGTGTTGTCTTCTGCCTTTGTAGCTCTTCAGCCATTTTCTCAAATTTCTTTTGAAGTCTTTTGTCATTTTCTGGTGTTTTAGGAATAAAATCTTTGGGCTGCATACACTTGTGCTAAGCAAAAAGGGTCAACATTAATGAAAGTATACTGTGTTCTTTACTGTTTGTTTTAAAATATTTATTATGCTGGGTGGTGGTGATGCATGCCTTTGATCCCAATACTTAGGAGGCAGAGGCAGGTGGGAGGCAGCCAGGACTACACAGAAAAAGCCTGTTTTGAAAAAAAGAAAAAAATAAGGAGAGAGAGAGATTTGCTTGTTTTTATGTGAAGAAATGTTGACCTGCATTTATGTATGTATACCATATGCACGATGCATGCCTGGTGCCCACAGAGACCCAAAGAAGGTGCCAGAGCCCTTGAAACTAGAGTTAGGACAACAGTTGTGAGCCACCATGTAAGTACTGGGAAGAGAACCTGGCTAGGTCTTCTGAAGAAGACAACTGCTCAGCCATTTCCCCAGTCTCTGTGATTGCCACTTGTTTTTTAAAGCAGGAGAGAAAGGCTTTTCCATAGAATTCTGGCAACTTTAATGACATCAAAATTAAAATCGCTTCTTAATGAGTTGTTTATTATACTGTATGGGAGTTGGCAGTATTTACTTCTGAGGCATCATTTTGACAAACAACACAGAACTTAAGAGATGAAGTAAAAGGCCGTCTACTTTGCAATTGTTTCCTGAGCTATTTCAGGATGCCAGCATTCTGAGCATCCAAGGCGGCTCTCAGGGCAGCCTAAGCACTCAGCTGTTCTCACACCAACTTCCTTCCAATGACACGGAACACAAAAGGAACCATTTCAGCTACTAAAGACATGAATCAGCATTTCCTTGTCTCAGCTGCTTCTCGCCCTTGCAGGCCCATGCCCTGTTTTGCTTTGGACTTGCTAGGTCAGGTTGCACTTGGTGACTACCACGTTCCTGTGTGTCAGGCACTGGTCCTCAGCATAGGAGAGCTTGCCCCGGAGTGATGAGTGACAGAGAAGATCCTTAACAACTAACTCAGTTCTACTAGTGAGTGCTAAGAGGTCAAGTCCAGCAGGCTGGCTCACTGTTGCACAGTGGGACATGTACTACTTCACAGTGTTGTTTTGCACATAAGGACAGTTTGTGTAGCTTGTGCATTGTTCTGTGAGGAGGATTAGTGACGTGCCTGGAGTACTCTTCCCATGAGGCAAGCAGAGGACAGAGGTTCTACTCTGTGACCTTAGTATTGGGAATCTTTCTACCATGAGACAAATGGCGGCAGTAAGAATAAGGTTCAGATGCTACAAAAAAAAAAAAAAGTATTCACAGAACCTGAAAGCAGCAATGTTTCCAAATCCACACAGCACCTTGGAACTTAGGTCCCAGAGTGACACTGACAGAGCCAGGGCAGCAGCCACAACAGAAAGCCCGACTACTGCAACAGGGAGTGTGAGTGAGGGCTGATGGGTAATGTGACATCTACACAGAAGCACAGAACGCTACAAATGAGTCTCAAATGGACTTCAGGGGAGCATGATTAGACAGAGGGAACAGATAATACCATGATGTGACTAAACTGTTTCCTGAGCAGGAAGCCATGGTCAGGCTGGGGGCAGAGTGACAGAGAGAGCAGAAATTGCCCTCTAAGAACCTAAAATAATGATGGTTCTCAAGTCACAATTAACCTGGAATGGCATTTGGAAAAGGGAAGAAGAAGGAAGGTTTCTAGAAGTGTAATATAGGCTAAAAGTAGTTACTATTTGTACAGCAGACTAGACAAAGTTTAAAGATAATACAAAAGCACTGGACAAGAAAGAGGTGCTCTTGCACACTATTGATGTAATCTCCACATCCAAGGCTATTTGCACATTGAGCCAGCAATTCTACTTCTGTTTGTGAGCACAAGAAGTAAACACACATTTCCATGTAACATGATTCATAAAAACTGACTGCGAGTATACATATAAAGGGCCACTCATAATGTGTAATACAAAACGAAATTAACATGATCAAAGACACACTATTAAGTGGGGAAGAAAACGCAGCCCAGCAAACTGAACACTTAGCTCAGCGGTTTCACTGTGCAGAGCGGTGTATGTGCTAATGTGTAGTGAGCACTCTGGACTCTTACCCAGGTCACTAGTCAAGCTGAGGTGACAGAGGGAAGAAACAGCAGAGATGCCTGCTGTGCCTGAGTTGACCAAGTGTGTAAAATTAAAAGAGCATGTACTATCGACATGTTTTCCCAAGTCCTTTACTTGGGCATGGCACAGTCAAGAACTGCCCAGAATCAGATGAGGAAGTCTGGAAAAGCCTTGGGGGAGTAGCCTCGTTACTGCCCTGGCACCTGGCTTACTGTGATGAGCAATGGATATACATCACATAGTATCCTCTTTTTTATTTATTTATTTTTTTAATCATGCAGTATCTTCTAAAAGTGCTGAGAAGCCCACAGCTACTTCTTATACTCAGCATGAAGTATACAGTTCTCATCCACCTCATTCAATCTTGATTAGGTCATCAAATCTAACAGTGGTTCTTGTGTGAGAACAAGGTGCTTTGATAATTCTCAGTGAGTTACACTCAAAGAAAAACCAGGGGGCCAGAGAGATGGCCAGCAGTTGAGAGCACTGACTGCTCTTGTGAAGGACCTGGGTTCAATCCCCAGCATCCACTTGGCAGCCCACAACCAACTCCAGCTCCAGGGGATCCAATGCCCTCTTCTAGACTCCATGGACACCAGACTTGCATGTAGTGCAGACACAGACGGAGGCAAAAACATACAAACACATAAAATACAAATTAAAAAAAGAAATACCAAACACAGAAGGCTATCTAGTCTTGGGGCAAGTTTTAATTTTCCAAGGCCAACTACATTCTCTTCCATTTCTTATAGATTATATATATCAAAGCATTCATATACAAAAAAACTTTACAGTTAACTAGAAATTTTATGGGAGAGGAGCAATGAGCACACTTAAGATACTCTGAATAATACCTGTGAAAATAAGATTTCTAGACTAAAAAACCAAGGGTGCATACATTCATAATCGCCCCATTCATACTTACTTTTTTTCTAATTAGGCTTGGTAAATGTTCATTCGTATTCACTGCAGGGAACAAAGACTCATCGACATGTGCTCCAGCCATCCTGCATCTGTAGAACCAAGTCAAAGCAGGCCAAAGAGTAAATGTCTTTGCTATAAGCATACAGCATGGGACTGCATAGAGATCAGGCAGCAGGTTCAAAAGTTAATATGTTTTACATAATATATACATACATAGAATGCCAAATATGAGTCAGTATAAATTTTTTTATAAATATAAATTTTCCCAAAATCTGCTTTCTCTACATGGTCTCCCCTGCCCCAATGCAAAAGCAGAAGAAGGTCAGACATATGAGTACATCCCTATAATCCAAGCACTTGGGGGTGGTGAGGAAGGAGCAGCATTTCCTTATACCCTGAGAGACTGAGAGAGGGCTCAGTGTTAGGGTGTTTGTATAGCAAGTGAGACACACTGGATTCAATCCCAAGAGCTGCCAAAATAAAATCAGCACTCCCCACCCACCTTCACTCCTTCCATCAGACGCACGGGGACTAGTAAACTAGAGAGAGGTGGGCCAGGGGTCAGATACATACCCAGGGGTCGAGACGCAACCAGGGGCTAGATACATTCCCAGGCTGACAGACTCATGATTAATAGGCTGTGGAGACAGCAGCCGACGTGTCACACATCAGAGCAACCCTGAAGGTGAGATTATCTGTGGGCACCCTGAAACCATACCCTAAGAAGGAAGCACCCTCCAAACTCCACAGGTGACCAAGAACATGGAAAATTTCTGCTGAGCTCAGAACCAAGTAATCACTGGCCAGATCTAAAACTACGTGGAGACCATGGAAGCAGACAGGAACAGGGACAGCCAGAGCCCAGGTAAGAAGAACATGTCCAGCCAACAAGGTAAACAATAGTTTAGGCATGGTCACACCAGTACCTTGGACTTAACTTTCACTAACCCAAGTGGGGAAGTTCACCATCCAGCACATGTGGATGGATGACATGGAAATTTCCCAGCAGCAACATTCCATCTAGAGGGCCGAGAAAAACTCAAGGAAGGTCTGACACCTACTGGCAAAGAGCAGAAACTCAACCCAAAAGTAACTGGTTTGAACTCTACACACCCACAAATCTGACTGAAAAGTTTGAACTAGAACAACAAACTGCGTCTTTCGAGGTCTCATCAGTAGTCTGCTATGTGAGACATCACAGGAAGGGGAGGGACTCAAAACCCATCCCAACAAGAAAGAGATTACTGACTGATATGATGATAAATATAACATTATTTTCACTTTGTTTTTCAATTTTCATTCTTATATAAATATCTTTTTACATTTATTTTTACTTTATTTTATGGGTACGAGTGTCTTGTCTGTATGTTTGTATGTGTACCACTTGTGCCTCGTATCCATAGAGACCAGAAGAAGGCATGAGATAGTGTGAGCTGCCATGTAGGTCCTGGGAACTGAACCAGGTCCTCTATAAGAATAACCAGTGCTCTTAACCTCTGAGCCACCTCTCTGGCCTGCAAAAATGTCTTAATGGTCTTGCTTTGATTTTGATATTGCTCAATCATACTCATTCTATACATAGCCCAGTCTCTCCTCTCATTCCTACCTCATTTCTTCTCTCTTCTGCATACACCCCCGCCTCTTGCCTCTTTACTTAACCCTAACCTCTGTAGCTGTAATAATCTTTAAATTATGGATCCTAACAGTATCCAGGTTTCTCCTTTCCATACACTTTTCACTCATTATTTTCCTCAGTTGATCTAATGCTCATCCTCATCCTTACTCAGCCCATTTCCCTTCCATCCCTAACCTTAGTGACCAGGATCTTTCTATCTACCACACGATCCTTGCCCCTCTATCTCTGAATAGTTATTGAAGTTAGAGGGATGGCTTGATTAGCTATTACAATGTGTGTGCTGAGTCTCTCTAGCAATTGTGGCTGCTTCTGCATCTACTACTGCTCCCTCAGGGAGGTATTGAGGAAGAGGACTGACAACCAGAGCATGTGAATTAGGGTGTAGTTCACTAGCTACACCCCCAGTCTACTAAGAAGAAATGACACCTTCATCTTATTGCAAGCCAGTTCCATTTGAGCATGCACATATTTCAAGTGAAAGAATACAGCCAATAAAGCCAGGCATGGTGGCTCACGATTTTAATCCCATCACTCAGGAGGCAGAGGTAGACAGATCTCAAAGCGTTCATGGTCAGTCTAGTCTATACAGCAAGTTCCAGGTCAGCCAGTTACATAAGAGACCCTGTCTCAAAAGAAGAATGGAGAAGTCCTGATGTTTTAGCAAGAACAATACAAGAGAAGTAAATAAAAAGGATACAAATAGAAGATGAAGTCGGTGTTCTTATTTGTAGAAAACATGATCCTACACAAAAGGGAATCATAAAACTCCTTTCAGCAAAGTGGCAGATACAAAATCAACATAAAAAACAAAGTGGTAGCTTTCCTATGTATCACCAACACACTGAGAAAGATCAGGCAGATAATCCCAATTAGGAGAAACCATCACACAAAGATTTTTGGTTCCCCTGAGGACATGGTGCCTCCCTCAAGAGACTGTCTCCTGCTCCTGTGGGCTCTATCTAAGGAAAGATGAGTGGGGAAGGAGGTGTCCTAGATAGGTCACCTCTTCAGATTCCAGATGCAAGAGAGTAACCAAGGAGGTAGAAGGCCCTGGAGGTTCACAGTAACAGTGCAGGCACAGCGGGGCTGGGGATGTAACTGAGCACTGTTTAGATAGTAAACAGGGCCTTGACCTTTGGGTAAAATGACAGAGCAAGTGCACAAGTTTCTCTTGTTCCCCTAAATCCCAATAAAAGAGCAGGAAAAGAAAACAAAAAGGACACAAACCAACAAAAAAGAGGAGTAGATAAGAGCTGCTTGGGGAACTGTCGAGCAAACAAATAAAGAAAAGAAAACCCAGGCCTAGCAGAGTGCAGGGGAGTCAAGGACTCCAGGTCCTCTCCAACCTCTGGGTGTGTGCTGGGGAGAAGGTGACACACAGAACAAACAGGGAAGAGCAGGGAAACAGGTGTGGACATGGTGCCTAGCCATGCCCACTCCCCTAACACCAGGGTGGAGCTGTGGGTCCATGTCAGACAACTGGAACCCAAAAGTTTGGACACAGGGATGGCCAGTAGCACTCAGTGAAGGAAAAACGACTCTATATGACAGAAGTGTGTTCATAGTAGACTCAAGATCCAGCTACCCAGTTCCTATCAGAATTGTAAGCACAAACCACTAGCTTAACAAAATTTTATTATGCACATTGGTATAAAGAGAAAGAACATTTGTGTGCAAAGAATGCATATGTATCTTTAAGAGAAGGGCACCCTGAGGGGGACTGGTTAAAAACAAATTTCCGGTGGCTGGAGAGATGACTGAGCGGTTAAGGGCACTGGATCAGTCTGAGTACCTAACCACAGTTCATGGGATCTGATGCCCTCTTCAGGCCTCTGTGGGCACTGCATGCATGTGATATACATATATGCAGGCACTCATACATGTATATAAAAATAAATAAATCTTGGGGCTGGAGAGATGGCTCAATAGGTTAAGAGCACTGACTGCTCTTTTAGAGGACCCTGGTTCAATTCCGAGCATCCACATGGCATCTTACAACTGTCTGTCCTTCCCATTCCAGGGGATCTAACACCCTCACACAGACATGCAGGCAGGCAAAACACCAACGCATATAAAATAAAAATAAATTAAAAAAAATTAAAAAATTATTTTAAAATATCTAAAAACAAACACCAGACAATGTTCAGTCGATCAAACAATGCCTGCCTTTTGCCCTGTGATGGTCAGTGGTAAGTGACAACTCAGCATCTAAGACCTAAGAGGCCTCTGGGCATATTGATAAGGGACTTTCTAGATTAAGGTTAGCCTCGGAGAATGTCTTTGACAAATTGTCTCGACTCCGTTAAAGGATGAAGGAAGGCCCGCCTTAATTGTGGATGAGACCATCCCCTGAACAAGGGGTTTGGGATTGTGTAAATGGGGAGGGCAGGCTGAGCACTAGCACATGTGCATTAACTGTTCTCTATTCTTGACTGTGGATGTAACAGAACCGAGTCTCTCATCCCCTGCTGCTGTGACTTGCCTGCCTTGATGGACTGTAATTTGGAATTGAGTCCAACAAACCTTTTCTCCCTAAGTTGCTTTTGTCAGGGTATTTTTATCACAGCAACAGAAAAGAAACTAAGCTACACCCCAAGCCCTGTAATGTTTAAGTCCTTTTCTTACTCTGTGTGTGTGTGTGTGTGTGTGTGTGTGTGTGTGTGTGTGTGTGTGTGTGTGTATGTATGTGCGTGCGTGCGTGCGCGTACATACATCCATATAATCAAGCAACATTTGGTCAGAAACAGGAAGCAACTAAGAATGACAACATGATGGACCTTGCAAAGACGGAACCTCAGGTGCTGCCACACTTGACTGCATTGATACAAACTGTCCACGCTCTGCCTTTATAGTTTCCCAGTGATGGGCAAACAGACATGGGGAGTGACTGCTAAGGGCACAGGCTTCAGTTCAAGGTACAAAATACTTTAAATTGTGGAGATGGCTGCACAACTCTGAGTGTGTTTAAAAGCCATAAACTGCATACTTTAACTGAGAAAACTGTATGATATATAAATGAGAACGTATGAGAGACTGCTATATATCCACTCTTAATAGCTAAATTTAAATGATGGGCAAACCCCAAGTGTGGGTGAAAGCACGGAACAAAAGAACACTCACACTGTTGAAGGAACGTGAAACCATGCGGCCACCTTGTTTGAGTAATAAACCACAAGAAATGAAAACACAGAAAGGCACAAACACAAATCTCCATAACAACTTCATTCATAGTAACCAAAAATGGAAAACTGTTCAGATTTCTACCACTGGCAACCACACTGTGGTATGTACATGCAATAGATACTACTTGGCTAAACAATGAGAGGAAACTATTGCTGCATAAGACATGGAGAAGTCTCTAAAATATCACAGTGACTGAAGGAAGCCAAGCAGTACATGCTAGAAGAGTACATCTGCCCGAAATCCTACAGCAGGGAAACTAACTTCTGGCTA